ATTCAACCCTAAAATAAGATGACTATGTAAAAGCTGTTTTCATGTGTATCCGAAAAACGTCTTTTTTCCTTTTCTTACTTCCGGCAAGACCCCCATCGATCCATGATTTTTGCCAGACTATCCTGGTCTGGAGAAAAAAAAGTCAAACAAAGTAAACAAGAACTCACCAAGGACATTTCAGATTCTGATTGTATCCTAAGGCGAGAAACGCAGGCCGCAGCGGTAGGATCAATCCGAGGCTGAAATTGAAGTGATTAGCGTACAACTAAGGCTGAACAAAGTAGATAGCTGACCCGGTTTTTCATCTTGACGACGAAAACCGGGTCTCTTTTCAAAACGCAAAGAGCACAGAGCGGAACCAGTTCTAATAGATTCGTGCCGTTGTTAGATACGTAGCGCAATGTAAATTGTTATAGGGTTGCTTTTTAAAATAAGCAGTACGAAGGAAATGCGACTAAAGCAAGCCACATATAGAATTTAAGTAAAATCTGCACTCACTAGCTATGTTACGTATCTTTTGTAATAATATAAAGTCTCTTTGGGTGAACGTGACAATATTGGATGTCTAGAAAAGACTTTGTCAATAACAGCTCACAGTAGCACTCATGATTGTAGTAGCGTTTATTAATAGTAGAATAGCTGGTAGTTATCAATAATTTAATATATATATTAACTGGAATAACAAAGCGCATTAAATAGGCAAGCCCTTGCTTTGAAAATCGCAGCTACTTTAAGTTTTGCTTACACTTAAATACTCTTTCTATCTACGTGAAGCGTTCCGCACCGTATGAGTCAATACACATGCGGCTCCATTATCCTTCTGTTCGTTTACCTGTGCATCACCCCCTTGATATAGAAGGACATGCTAGAAGCCTCTTTGTCGGCACCATTTTACCGCCTTTTTTCCTGGATGTGCCAGGCAAAAAGGGAAAAAAGAAATTTCCTTACTCGTCCATGAACGAAGAAGCTAGCCAACGCACAAAAAATGCACGAAAGCGCAGATCCACTCAGCATATGCTCTTCAAACCAGCGGCTACTAGCACGTGCCCACGTCTGCCACGACGCGGTGGTGATCAAAGAGTCTTTGGGGTTCAACGAAAATACCCTTCGCTAGACCAACCGGCGACCGACTAACAGTGAACAGCCCTTAGTAGAAGTTGGGCTTAGAGTATCTACGGCTGCTGCGGCCCGGCGTGGTGCGATGTTCTGCCTCTGGCGAATGTAGGGCGTCGCGCGATCCTAGAGAAGGAATCAGCTTGGGGGTGGAATAGTGTATTTTGACTACAAAGTGGCCGGAAATACGCATGCTTTTCGGCCTGCTTCTGTTCGATGGGGCATAGGTTCCTCCGCATTCTGTGCTCCATGCTACAGTGTTGCGAAGCAAAAGGTCGTATGAGACAGCCACCGCGAGAAGGAATCGGCATGTCGATGTGCTTCGGAAAAGAAGGTTGTGGGAAGAAGGCCTAAGGATTGAGATAGAGAGACCCACTTCCGGGCGTCTCCATTGTCCAATCCTTCTCTACTCTTTCTATGTCTCTCTCCTGTAGACCCTCTTCGACGTGGTACGTATTTCGCTGAAGAACAAGAAATGCAATACTCGCCTCACAAGGTGCAGCAGTTCCGCGGTACGTATAGTATAATAATAGTAGTTGCGCCAAGTTGGGACACGCGGATAGCTGCTGCTGGTAGACAGAGGGGGAGTGAGTGGGCAATGAGTTGCAAAGAGAGATGACAACAGGAGTGAACATGGAGCATGCCTTAGTAGAGACGGTCGTTTTAGGGCCAGGAAAAACTAGAGGAGGAACAGGCGAAGTTAGAAAGAAAAAAGGAGCGACAAAGTGAGAGGGGCAGAAAAAAAGCCATTCTTTGCGCGACCGGATAGCATGCAGATTGGGTCAACGGACCTGTGAACTCAAATTCCTATTTTTCCTCCGGTGAGTACCAACCCCCGGTACCCGTCTTCTCCAATCCCCTTCTCACACTGAACACAGAACGTTTGCTTACTACTGCCACCATCATTCGCAGTATGGATGAAACGGCGAAGAAAGAAGCTGAAGGAAGCTAGGAGACTCTTCTCCACGGAAGCTCTTTGTGCATCCTGGTTCTTTTCTACTCTGAACGCTCGCCAGTGCACGAAAGCTGCCGCTCTTAGGACTGCCAGGACGGCCACCAGGGCCCCACGCTAAATCCGCCTCATGCCACTCTCCGGCATCGTGTCATATGTATTGGGTCCAAACCCAAGCTGGCCCTTAGTTCAGCACATTCCCTTACATCCCCTGTTCCCCCTTAGCTTACGCCCAGGCCAGCGAGTAGAAGGAACGGGCAGTCAATGCTTAACGGCGACGAGGTAGCAGCTATGCCATTGTAGCGTAGTAGTAAAATAGTGTAGTGGCAGAACGGGCTCACCTATTACCGCGTCCGCGTCTGTTCCATCCGTCAGCATCGCTCTACCATCCTGCCATTCCACTCTGATGCAATTTGAAGCCATTGGGGCACCACGAAACCATTGGGCATTGGGCGACGAGCACTTCCGGAGCTTGAGTGGTCAGGCTGAACGAGCTTCCTCTAAAGACCGAACAGGGTGCAAGCCCGTGCAGAAAGAGTGTGCCCTCAAGTGTGTGAGCCATCTGAAGGCGGTTAGACACTACCGTTCAGAGGTTTTGGCCCGGGTTAGATCCGAACCTAGAGGAAAGCGGCAGGTAGTCGGGCGGCCTGTTGAACTGAGCAGAAAGAGCCACTGCTGACACAACAACTAAAGTGGACTATCCTCTGATAGGTATCGCCCTACATAAAGCAATACCTATTTATCAAGCCAGGAGCGGCTAAGCTCGCATATCAGACAGAGAGGGAAAGAGCAGACCACGGCAGCAGATACGGGTAGAAAGAACCGCTGTGCGTGAACATGCAGGGCACATCGGGGGTTAAATGGGTTATCCGTGCGACCCAATGTAGCGAGTAGAGTGCAGCAAGTGAGCAGTGCTCCGTAGTGTCTAATATTGAAATGTATGGGGTCACCGCTGATGGTGTTATTGAAAAGGGTTGCGTGGCTATCAAGAAAAACTTTATCAAGAACTCACCTTTGTTGGAGATGCTTGCGAGCCCAAAAAAAGTTTTCGTCGATGAGGTTGAGGACTGATCTTTCTGCGAATTAGTGTTAGCTCTTCGGCCGTCCGAAATATTATTTCATGCCGTTCTAGCCGTTTTCATATATGTATCTTCGTTGAAGTATAGGGCCCGCTACTGACGTACACTACAGAGTATGTGTACTTGAAAAAAGTTAAGTAGGTGTCTTGATTATTATCTAATTAAGCTACTGAGAAAGATTAAATTTAATATTTAGCTACTAGGAATAGATAGCAAAACGAAACCCTGCAAAGAATTTCTACACATCTAACATTTGCTAATCAAGCTAAGCTTAATGTGAGCGTTCAGTACTTAACTTTCGTTGGTGAAGAAACCTCATATCTGACTATGTGCTACATTTTCTGCAAATTTACGGTTCGAATCTATGAATTATACTTACAGGTAACAACGGGAAGTTGGTGGGCAAAAGCAAAAAACTAAGTTGATAAAGAAAATATTAGCTAACCAATTGTATCGACTTGTCATTAATCCAATCACAGCCAGAGTATGATTTGGCTGTAGAAAGTGAGCCTATGTGTTAAGAGCTTTCATCCGATATCGTCATTAAACACTCCATCAGACGGATAAATTAAGCCAAGAGCTCCTTTGTCTCTAGGATGGCCAATCCTCATTTTAGTACGACATTTTCTTGATGTTTTTGTCTCCTAATCCCCGGCCATGCTTTACAGTGTCCTATCGACCTGACTCTGCAGGTTTCAATAACGGGCCTATATGCCAGTACCTGCACTAGGAACCCTCTGTACTGCCTCTGATACACACTCACCCATGAAAAGATGTAGTCTAGTTCTATTTACTCCGTAGCCTTTTCTGATAATTTTGGCTCCTCCCTCTTTGCGACATTTGAGCTCTTTATCAACTGTTTTCTTATATGGTTGGTATCAGTATTCTTCGTAAGAGGTAGGGAGAGTTGCGGCAGCTGTGCGAATACAAAAAAGACACCCGTAAGTGCAAAGCAGCTTCACTAAAACGCGTATAGAAGTAAAAGCCTGCAATCCACCCGTAACAAACTAGGATTACCACCAGTCATCTAAAAATAGACATAGATCTTCAATCACTACACATGTGTCCCATTCATCCCCATATCGATACTGGTACAAAAAGTGGTCCAGGCATTGATCTGAATCCCATACACAATGTCAAACAACTATTGCTCCCGAATTTCAAGCCGATTCCTTTTTCTTCTATTGTCGTCGCTGTTTCACTGTTGTTGTTATGGGTACGGGAAAGGTAATGCACGTTCGTCATCTAGAGTTTGGTGTGTAGATAGACGGTCTCTATTCGATCTGATATGGCACGGGGCATCTCATCTCGAAGATGCGGTCTAGCCGAAACGCAAACACGCACAGAAAGAAGGAGATCATGGGGACAAGATGACGGGACGATGTTCATGATGAAAACGCAGGAGGGTGAAATGGAGCCGTCGAGAAGAGAACTGGCCTAGCAGTTTTCCCGTTGGCATAGCGGAACTGTTGGAAACGAAAGCAGCTCAAACTGCTCTAGTAAATCAGAAAGCAAAAACCAGTGTTTTTCGCTTGAAGCAAATGGAAAGACACGATTGTTACTAAGAAGGCACTGACTGCTGCTTTGGCGTAGGGTATACTCATCTGTACGCTGAATGTGCAGAGAGCCTCAGAAACGTCTCAAGAAATTTCTTATGCTTTAGTCGTCACAAGCTTCTGCTGTGCAGACAAGAATGCACATTGCTACGTCAATACTTGTCTAGGTGCAGGGTATATAATAATATTAAAAGCACGTTGGATTTCTGAAAGAAATAAAAGCAAGATAGACAAGTTAGTTCAATAATTTCATTTTAACAAGAAGTGGTTAACGAAGATTTTTTTTTGGGCTGACTTCAGGCCCATATCCTTTTTCGCATATGGTGCATTTTAAGGTAACCTTGGCTACCGCCCAGGAGCAAGATCCTCGGCCGCTGAAATAACTTTTACCCACTCCTGAAACTGCATCATGTCTTTTTTCTTCGCCCTCGGAGGAAAAAAGGTGCGTGTTGTCTGAACTGAAATTTTTCATATGAACCGATCTGATTTTGATACCGTTGAGTGGGCCTGACACAATGACTGTGACATAAAATGTTACGAATACGCCAAGGTATATCAAACTAGAGCATAAACTAATACACACAAAGCCGTAGATTAAAATACACAATTTAAAAAAATGCTATGGTTGACTGTCTTCCTACTCGACCGTCTAAAACTGAGCACATTTTACCAGCTGGTCAAGAATCCTCATCAAACTACTCCGGTATTCTACTCGAATTCAACTATACCTGTAAGAAAGTGTAAGAGATTTTAGTCGTCCATTATGATGATATGAGTCTTAGTATCACCACTATATACGATTATCTCTAACATAAACTTAAGACTATAGTTCGTCAGCAGAGACAGCGGCGTATTGACACCATCCAAACCAGCACAATCACCCCTGGACCTGATTGGGTCGACCGCTGTTATTTTTGATCAAAACACCTGACCCATATCTCGAGAAAGCCAGTCAAGGTCTGGTTATACTCCGCCCCGCACCCTGTCGTTCGGTGAAAGGCCCTCTACAACGGAAATTAGGGGAAGGGGGCTGGCATTATAAGGGGGAGTAATGGTCGAGCTTGAGGAATGACAGTCCTCCTAACAGATGTTAGCGTCGCAGGGCTGACCCATTAGAGCAGGTCTAGTTCCGTCTGATGCTTCTCATAACGTAATACCATGATGCATGAGGCTAAGCGACAGAGATAACAGGTTATTTAGAACGAAGAGTTGACGGTGCATAGGTAACATTGAGATACTCGGTTAACGGCTGCGTAAATGCTCTTCGTGCATGCTGCGTAGCAACTATTATAGGGGGATACCTATTGGCCGCGTCGTTGTTAGCAAAAGTTACATCGACTCGTTCGTAGTGGCAAAGTTTAATCTGAATGATTCATCGCACGTATAATTTGCTAACTAGTACGTGAACTATCAACTTTTTGATAAATGTAAGCAACTAAAAAGTGCTAGTTTTTAATACCAAATACGGAATAAAAATGTTTGTAAATAAAAGGAACCGTGTGCATGTACACTCCTTATTCTAACACCACACGTTTCGTTATTACAGATGCACATGGCAGATTCATTTAAGTAAGCTTAATGAACAGTCGGGGCAGCCGCTGAGGCTACACATATCGTAGTTGACCAGCTGCTTTTAAATATATATATATATATATTTAAAAAATTATAGGCTAGGATAAAATCTGCGCATTTTACTTTTTTTTTTTTATATATAAAAGTACGATATTTTAGTAAAAAATATGATACAATCATCTGTGCCATGTCATCCAAGATTGTCTGCCTCGTTCGTGCGGACTAGACATCTTCTGAATCAATACGCACTCCTTAACACCGCGTATACGTTGAATCTCCGAACTGGATTATCTTCACTATGAATAAGAAGCATTTGCACAAATATCCACAATGTACTGATCACCTTCCTGTTAAATGACACATAATTACATCAAAATTACCGCCTAACTGTACAGACATTATATGCAAAGCCGTTCTCAGTCGTCCAACATTTTCTGTCCATCATCCTTACTAGCGTCACCGGCGAACATTGGCTGGGTGCTTCAGGATAACCGCACGCATAACGGGGAATGTAAGCACGCGCAAGAAAGCTGTTAAGGGCGCAGTAAGAACCTCCATTTTACGTACACTTACCACATCGATGCCGGCGTCCTTTCCGATGCTTTTGTCCCTGCTAGTAACTGCTGCGAAGGCTCCGGTCGCAAAGCTCTCGCTAGCCACCGAGAACTCACGTAGTACATCGATCATCTCGACGGCTAGCCACAACTACCCCGCTCTTTGCCCCCACAACTACCCCACTATAACTGCTACTAATGACGCAGTAGCGACCGTGGCTAGTGCCAGCGGAGCCTTCGGCACGCCTGTTCATCGCGGTAGGCCCATATCGCCCCTGGCTTAATCTACACTTCCACCAACTACTCCCCGTCTCCTTAGATTATCCTTACAACCCTTCCCCTAATCGCCATGTTATGCGCATCTACAAGTTAATAAATCGTTACGTTGTTCTTTCCGTTACTGGCCCGTTCGCGGTTCTTGCTTGCTATGGCCTAAACGCTGTTACGCTGTTATGACATGTTATACATAGACGTAGTTAGGTGAGGCATATCGCGAACAGAATGAAGAACAACGTCGACAACGGTCTGAGCAATGGCAGAAAGAAAAACATGCGATAGGAAAAGACGAGTACGACAAATCGAATGGACCGCCTTGCCAGTTAATGAAATACCCTGCAGGTCCGACAATTGTTGTGTCGCAAGCGTTCCATGCATCTAGTCAGTATAATAAAGTTGTCGTTCTATACGGTACGTCTTGATGATAGTTTTTACTACGGGGCACATCTCTAGATCCTAATAGGACACAATTTAGGCCTTCGTCCTTAGTAATTGTTGACTTGAGAACGTCGTCTTATCGCATATTCGTAAAGATTGTTAGTGGATCGTTTTTCTGAGGAAGCTTAAAAACAAAATGAATAATAACAATATCGGTTAATATGGCTATCTATGCTAGCACCTAGAAACTAGATAGAAAGGTAGAGAGCCGAAGACCAACGATAGAATATCACAGTGTAATGTCAGCATCCGATTACTAGCAGACCAAACTCCTTCAATAAAATAGCGACATTCTTTGTCACAGTAGCTCGGCGCCTGTTATTCTTCTTCGACGTACACAACGTCGGCGATAAGATACAATGAGGCACCTCTAAGCCACAGCTCAGCTACCCCCTAACATTGGCTGGAGACATTTGCTATGCTCTAGCATGGCGCACGACGTACTATACTCGGCCTTTATGTATGTGCAGCCGACGGAACTGATCTCCATAGACAACACAGTTGTGTCACAGTGCCATGAGCATTGGCGTAGACCCACTTTCCTACCATTGTTCCCGTCATCCTACTCTAGTGGGGACGAAAAGGCAGGGCCGACTGCGCTCAATGTACTCGATTCGGTGGCTCGGCCTACCCGATATGGGCCTACCAGACGTCGACTTTACTACTACCAGTACTGCTATATGGGGTATAGAGGGTAATGATGGCGATTTACTAAGCAGAACTGCCTCCCTAGAGCGACTCTTCTCTCTTTCCCCCTGTCGATGACTGGCGTTGCTTGGCCTTTACTGGCCTGGCTGACTTGTGGGTTGCTGCCGACGACATCCTGAGTGTCGCCAGGGATGCCTCTATAGACAGTACAGGACACCAACTAGCAACCAATCTCGCTTGCCTGTCCCTTCGCCTGTTCGCGTGATGTTCGCGCGATGTTGATGACAATGTGGCCGCGACTATAGGGCCAGGGACGGCGATGACGATGTGTCAGAGACGCTCGCAATGCGGCACAACGCTAGAACGACAAAAGGGGGACGTGCGACAACCTTTCGGTTGGGTCTCTCGTCAGTATTGCCAGTGGGGTTTGGGGGGAGAGAAGAGTCTCGCTGTGGCAGGGTCATTCATGGGTGTTAACGACGGAGCTGGCTAGAAGGTTTTCCTTCCGCGTTCTCTGATCTAGCCAGCAGTCAACCCGGAGGTCGCAGACGGTTAGGCCGTTCCCTATGGGGCATGTGCGTTGGTGATGGCTTGTTTAGGGGAGACAGGTACTAAGTCGTTGCAGAGTGAGCGAATATAGGTGAATAGGGGGTTGATTGTAAGGTGTGTGGCAATACTACTTGATGAGTTAATCGAGATAGTTCATTCGTTCGCTGACGGCAGTTTCAGTAGTAATGGCTTAGTCACTCCTGACAACGGGCAGTCTCGGCTGCTGGGTATTGGCCACAAGTAAAAGCTCTAGCTATATAGTTAGCAGTAATGATACCTGCGTTCGTGTGTGCACATATATCTGTAGGTGCCATGTGCGATTCGGTTCCATGCGCTAAAAATCAAGTCTGTCCCACATTATCTGCTATAAAAGTAATTATCGTAATGATAATGGTTGCGGCAGTGGATTGACTGGTGATGTTTTTGGGTCTACATCCTACATATGAATACCCAGATGAAAGTATGCACGTATATCTATCTGGTTATGATGATGATTAGACTAACCATAGTTCTATTCACTTTTTAACTTGACAGTCAGATATAGATATTGGTTTGAAGCGAAGTAGCTATGGCCCCAGGGGACGTACGAGGCTTCAGCCAGCGACGTTGCGTTCTTAGATGCGTTACTAATAGTTGCAGCATGATAATATTAGGAGTGGATTTATTCACTGAAGCTTGCCGAAAGGCAAACGTCAGTAGAGAATGATTAGATGTACCATTAAAACACGTAAGCTTACGCAATACAATGCCGTTTGTATTCTGATGTGGGCAAACAACTGGGAATTTGAAATTACGCGGTCTTAGACCGTACGTAACTATTGCAATAATGTCACAAAGTAAATAGGTGCATAAGCCGACGTATTAAATAGTCAAGTTTAATTAAATGATGATCACGATGATTATCATCATTAGTTACAGCATCGACTCTTGGCCTGCTGCCTATTCCGACTGTGCTCGTAACGATATGATACTGCCTGCTCAAAACGTTAGGACTTCATATAGCAATGAAAATATCTATTAATAATCGATAATAATTTGACTAAGCTGTAGCTTATTTAGTTAATATATGAAATTGACTTTATGTTTATCAAATGGCCTTAATACAAAGGCAATAAGTCCCTAAACTAGCAGGCTGTCAGGCAATGACGAGGCCAAGATTCGGTGTTTGTTTTTATAAATTGTGCGCATTTGCAGTCGGAAAAGCAGAACTAATTTCATATGGTAAACAGATAATTACTTTGTCAAATTGTTATAAATTATTCTTACGCGAGATACGTGTCAATATTTGGTAATACTTATTTTCTCTCTGGATGCGTAAATTGAACGTATGGCAGTAGTGTTTCAAGCTTCTTTCTGTAGGATAAAGACCTATTAATGTCAACGCTTTCAAAATTTAGATCCTCACCACGGAAATCGTGTGAATAGATTATGCCCCGCCAGTTACCTATCTGTAGTTTCAATACCATAAAGAAACAGATGTAAATATGAAAACAGGGGCAATTTTACCATAAAGAAAATTTTACCAAACAGAAACAATTGGTGCAGGTGAATTATCGCATAGCATTTGCTCCGACATACGCTTTGGACATTTCTTCTATGACACATAAACAGCGGAAGAGGCCTTCGTCGTTCGGTAGCTATCTCCCGCCATTCACCGAAATGCATTGCTGTAGTTAAGGGGGCGGTAACAGGCATCATTACGGCCAACAAAATTTAAAACGGCATACGTTTCTATGTAGCCTTTCGACAATCGTCGCTCATGCGACAGTGAACGACGATCGCTCCGTGCGGTTCCCGTCGCCCGCGATGTAGGACCAGCCACTGCCTTTGCGGCTTTAAGAATGAAGCCGAGATAGTTCTGAGGATCACAAAAAAACAGTCGCTAGTTGGCCATTCGGCTTCTCTTTATACATACGCCATGATAACAATAATAACATACATGTAAGAATAGTTACGGCTGTACAATCGCTGTAAGTGAGCTGTAATAATCGCTGAGCAGAGGCGCCAAAGAAGACATTGAAAAGGACGCCCGCTTAATACAAGCAATTGTATCGGCGCGGTGACCGTCCTGAGGGAATGTACCGATATAAGTGTGCTATAACTACGGCGAATGCGTTACGATTATAATATGATGTACGATAAAAAAAAAAAAAAAAAAACAATAAGAAAAAAAACGCCGTGAAAAGGACTGCGTCAACGCATCAGTCGGTGTTCATCGCTTTCCCCAGTGGGCTATTGGTGCGTCTGAACTACGTTTGGGGGAACTTTTTGGTTAATGGTAATCTTAAAAGTTGGGTTGGACTGGGCATAGGTGCGATCTGATATTAGCATCTTTACGTCAGTGCCATACGTCATTAAAATTTTACTATTGCTAATTGATGACAAAAACCGGACAGGTTGTAAATATAACGTGTTCGCATTTCGTTTAACTGGAATATCTGTCAATTTGTCATCTAACACAGATTGATAAAAAAAAAAAAGCCTATCTTTAGCTGTCAAGCTCAAAAGCGGACCCAGCTGCGCATCACTATTGAAAACATCGAAGCAAATACTCGTCACCCAATTAGAACGGCTTTCATCGTTACGCATATCATCGTCAGGATGCACTACGTACCCAGATCGGCCTCGAAAGAACAATGGTCCTCTATTAAATACACCACAACGTCTAATTACTGAAGAGTTGAACATGTAACATTGTCACGCTATCTAGACGCCGACTATAAATGATCATATATAGTAGTTTGCCATCACGAGCGTCCTGCACGAATTCGGACCTTCTTTGGACAGCTGTTCGTACATAGGCTTGCGTAGTCGCCCATAGCAACTGTCTCATCGCAGTTGAAATGAGATAAACTCGATAACGGCAATAGCTATAGGACACACATTGCCTGCTTCGCCTCGAAATGAACGTAGTATATTGATCATAGTATCACCTTAGGTTTGGGCTGGGTTGAAAACCAAAACGAAAAAATAGTAGATGAATACGCTACGAACAGTTTTCCACTCGTAGCAGAAAAATACATCGTTTATCTGGCTGACAATGAACTGGTACAACAAGCAGCAGCAGCAGCAGCAGCAGCAAGTTTGATTGGCTAAGGCCATCTTGACGTTTAGTGGGTACCCAGGGGCGTCGTACCTGACGCAAATACACGTGAATCTAAACATTTTTAACTGTATGTTATGTAGCAATGGAACGAAAAGGCCTTTTACGTTTCTCGATAGCACGATGCCCCTTTAATGGTTGGAGAAAATAATTCGCTGTATTTCGTATTAAAAAGGTTTTCCATATTGTCAGTGCCAAAGATTTAGCAGGAACCTTACGAAAGTAATGGCTGTTCGGTGCCAAAGAATTTCGCCGATTTTCGTCTTCAGTAACGTAATTGAACTTTAGCAAGTTCAAGTAATCGACATGTAACTATACTTAATTCTAAACAAGAATCAACACGAGGCGTTCCGATTCGGCAGGGCGTTAATGGCAAATATTGGGTCTGACCTCGTTGCGTAAAGGACAGGGCTGTACATTTTCTTCGGTTATTTTTGCAGCAACTGGGAAGGTAAAAGACGAAATGTACTAAGATAAAATGCATAATGGTAAAATTTTGTGCATCCGCAATAATAAAACCAAGGCAATAGCGTAGAACATATGTTACCTCTATGA